AAACCACCGACCCATAAACCATCAACACTGAAACACCGACCCCTAAAACATCAACACTGAAACACCGACCCCTAAAACATCAACTCTAAACCACCGACCCCTAAAACATCAACTCTAAACCACCGACCTCTAAAACATCAGGTCTAAACCACCGACCCCTAAAACATCAACTCTAAACCACCGACCCATAAACCATCAACTCTAAACCACCGACCCCTAAAACATCAACTCTAAACCACCGACCCATAAATCATCAACTCTAAACCACCGACCCATAAATCATCACTACTGAAACACCGACCCCTAAAACATCAACTCTAAACCACCGACCCCTAAAGCATCAATACTAATCCTCTGACCCCTAAACCATCAACACTGAACCACCGACCCTTAAAACATCAACTCTGATCCATCGACCCCTAAAACATCAACACTGAAACTTTTGACCCCTTAAAACATCAAAACTGATCCTCTGACCCCTAAAACATCAACACTGAAACTTTGACCCCCTAAAACATCAACACTGAACCACCGACCCCTACAATATCAACACTGAAACACCGACCCCTAAAATATCAACACTGAAACACCGACCCCTAAAACATCAACACTGAAACACCGACCCCTAAAACATCAACACTGAAACACCGACCCATAAAACATCAACACTGAAACACCGACCCCTAAAACATCAACACTGAAACACCGACCCCTAAAACATCAACACTGAAACACCGACCCCTAAAACATCAACACTGAACCTCTGACCCCTAAAACATCAACACTGAAACACCGACCCCTAAAACATCAACACTGAAACACCGACCCCTAAAACATCAACACTGAAACACCGACCCCTAAAACATCAACACTGAATCACCGACCCCTAAAACATCAACAGTGAACCTCTGACCCCTAAAACATCAATACTAATCATCTGACCCCTAAAACATCAACTCTAAACCACCGACCCCTAAGACCTGAAGACTGGACCACTGACCCCTAAAACAGCAATCATAAGAAACCCTATTCCGTTGCATCGTACGTGCCATTTTAACCCCCCCCCCCCCCTACCACCACCACTATTAAACCTAATGATGATAAACGACGTGACCTACTTTTTTGTGAGGCTAATTAACCAACAACGTTAATGAGCTGCTCATTTACCCTCGGTTATCTGGTATAAGCTATGTTAATTGGTCCGTGCATAATACATCAAGCGGACCGTGCATGCAAATTGCCCAGGGGAAAGACAACTTCGTCTGGCCACAGGGGACACAATCACCGCAGCTCAACTTACAATATTTTGTTTTACAATTGGTCATTATAAAAAATTATTTTAAAAAATGTTAAAAGAAATAAAACAAAACCCATTAAATATCAGAAACGGCATTTTTAAAAAAAATAAAATAGAATAAATTTACACAAAACAAAATGCAATTACCATAAACCACTTTTTTAATGTAGAGTTATCTACCTTTAGTTTTGTATAGTCTCCCCTTACTGGCTAATTCACTATACTCGGCCACTCTACAGATGAGACCATATGATGGATTGTTATGACCGCTGAGTAGAACTCAGTGCGGGTTTTCCCCATCGGACCTTACCAATTACCTCCTCACTGAGCGAAGCGCCATAAATAACACGGGCGATCGTGGACGCGAATTAAGCTGGACGGGGAGAGAACCGTACGTGACCGGGGTAAGAATTGTCTGCGTAAATTTCGCGGTGGAATTAAAAAACACGAAGTTAACGAGCGGCCTAGCATGGCACCGGTGACGCCCGCAGGTGCTGGGGACATACCGAGATTTACTGGGGGGGGGGGGGGGGGGGGTCACGTGAGGGGATGTGTGGTGTCAAAACTTGTCTCGGTGCGCTTTTGCTGAACATGTTCGTAACTCGAGGTAACTCGAACCTGTCCCGGTGCGGAACAAGTTCGTAACTCGTAACATTTACAGTAAAGAAACAATAATTACACACAAGCAAAGATATAGAGACGTATAATCCAAAATTGTATTTACTGCGACTTCATGAATCAGTTCGTAACTCGAGGTAACTCGAAATACAGTAAAAACAAATAATCCCACGCGAGCAGAGATATAGAGACGTGTGTTCCAAAATTATATTTACTGCAACTTCATTAATCAGTTCGTAACTCGAAATACATTAAAACAAATAATTCCACGCTAGCAGAGATATAGAGACGTATATTCAAAAAAATTAATTACTGCGACTTTATGAATCAGTTCGTAACTCGAGGTAACAAGATACATACGCAAAATAAATCAAAATAAACTTAGATGTATACTGAAATAAGGTATATTTCAAAGTTTTAAGTACTGCTACCTGAATCAGTTCGTAAGTCGAGGTAACTCATAATACGTTTAAAAAACCTGAGTGTCATTACAATTTTCCTTAATTAGTTCGTAACTCGAACAGACGAGTATAAAAATATATTTTTTGACCTCTCCCAATGTCTAGGTCTAGGTCCTGTATAACCACCATTTGAATTGAGCTCATCATACTTCTGTTTATGAAGAAAATATTGCCAGAATTATTTTTTTGTTTATGAATAACTCTGATCTCAAAAATAATATGTAAAAAAAAATTCCGTTGGGATTATACACATGTCACGAGTCACTTCATTAACACTAATTACATACATTACAATAACTAATGCGCGCATCAACATAGCTATAGTCGTGTGTTGTAGAATTAGCACTCGTCAAAATTAACACTAGATCTATATTGCAAGGAAGGCCTTTTAAAAACCTAGTTTACTAAGCTACCTCGTTTTACAATTCTAATCTACTTTTTTTTTTCGAGACAGCCCCCCCCCCCCCTAGAAATATCAGTCGCTGTGTCTATCTAAGGGAAGTAACTAAGTACAATACACATTAGAGTAGTTTGGTACTTACTTCCCTTTATTAAAATGCCATTTCTTAGTATATATTTTTATATTGCACATAATTAGTGACTGCAATTTCATTTTTTTTAAACTAAAAAAATATTATAATTCATTTCCACTAACGAGGTTCACTTTGATCTCATTATCATTAATCTGCTTTCGGTAACTTTTAACTAAGCTTTGCTTAGCAGTGGTTGCTCATTAAAACAGCCTCGCGCGTTAGGTTATAAATAAACAAAGTAGGACGTTAGCCGTCAGTGTCACGCACAAATCTTTATAACTGTCACATCAATCACGTGACGCTGTCGTGAACACGTCAGCCATGTGACGTCGTCCCACCAGATAGTCAACTTACCTTAGTACAAATAGAAAAATCTTTGTGACAATAGCTGCTGCTGCTACTTACATTAAAACACAATCGATTAAATCCCATTATTTATTTTTGTAGATTGAATTGTTTTGAAATTTTAAAGCCTATACCTACTGTGCTGAGTAAACACATTTTAAATAGTCATCATTAAATTTTAATGCTTGAAGAAGATTTTGAAAAAAAATTGATGAAGTTCGTAAATGATGATCTGTCATCAGTGGCGTAACAACCATATAACCAAGGTGGTCAAAGGGCCCCCGAGGTTCAAGACCCCCCAAGGTCCAGGGACCCACCGCGTCACTAGGTAGGGTATAACCCGGTGTCCCCCCCCCCCCCCCCCAAGAAACAACATATATATAGTATATATGATTAATAATAATAGCATACTTTGCGTGTACGTGCTTGCGTGTGTGTGTGTGTGTGTCGGAATACATATGCATGTAATTTAAGTATATGCCACATACGAGTACATGTATGTGTATAAGCTTTAATCACTGCAAACTTATTGGTAACGATGTTTATCTATATTCTGAACATTTTGCAATGTTTTGCCTTGGTGTCACCCCCTAAAAGGTGTCACCCGACCCGCCCTCGGTACACCTCTGCAGACTCCCCCCTCACCTAAAGTGACGTTACATCTCAGCCTACAACCCCCCTTCCCCCCTCATATTGCAGTTGAATTTTTCTTAAAACGTTTTTTTTTTTCAAAAATCTTGTCAGAACTCTGTCAACAGAGTATTTTAATCAATTTCTATTACAATTTATTAAAAACAATTTTCTAAAAAGCGAAATAACATTTATAATAATGCAAAAGTGTGACGTCACACCATCTACCCCCCCCCCCCCCCTCCCCCTCATAACACACCGTCATCAAAACTACGGACCCTTTCCCTCAGTGTTTCTTCCAGACTTTTTTCTCCGGGGGGGGGGGGGGGCACTTGAATTTTCGGGGGGGGGGGGGGCGGTAGACTTTCTTCGGGGGGGGGGGGCGGACTGTTAAAAGTATATATTTTCTATATAAATTATATAAATTTCATTTCGTTCGGGGGGCGGTAAAAAAATTTCGGGGGGGGGGGGCAAAGCCCCTCCGAAGAGATGCCTGGAGTAAACTCTGCTTTCCCCCCCCCCCCTTTTTTTTCGAGTGTGACGTCATTTATGGACGACCCTTAGACTACTGTCTGTCACCACAAATTTAATAAACTTGCGAATACTGAAATTTTTATATAGATCTAGAATCTAGCTCTAGTTTGTGCACAAATAAAATGCGTGCATTCATTAAAAAAAATTCTAAAATCCAGTGGCGTAGCGAGGTCGGGTGTCACCCGGTGCGGCACTTAATGGTGTCACCCCCCCCCCCCCCCCCACCACAGAGGCGTAGCGACCCTTCCCGGGGACAAACTTTCAAATTTTAGATTTGCAACCCCCCCCCCTCAAGTTTTCGATTTGCACAACAACCCCCCCCCCTCAAGTTTTTGATTTGCACCCCCCTCAAACTTTCGAATTGCACCCCCCTCAAGTTTTTCTCTATATTGCCTTGGTGTCACCCCCCTAAATGGTGTCACCCGGTGCGGTCCGCACCCTCCGCCCCCCCCCCCCCCCCCCCCCCCCTCGCTACGCCCCTGCTAAAATCATTGAACTAAACACGCAGGTTTCTAGAATGAATCAATTCCTGTCTAGTATTGTATTTGTTCCCTCCCTTACTTCATGTTTGGGTTTGAGTTTTTAATCTTCAACCATAATAAACATGGCTACCAGACAAAAGTTACCTAATTTAAAAATATGTGTCGATAATACAGAAACAACTGATGATTCGGAAGTTGAAATTCAAAGTTCGGCTTCATCCAGTTCAGAAGATGAAAGTAATTTTAAGATAAAAAATAACAGAGGAAGAAGAGGTCAAGAGGACGGAGAAGTGGAGGATGACGTGTTATCGATAGGTTCCACCGATGGACCAACAGAGAGACGTTTCTTATCGAGATCCACCCTGAAAAATCAAAAACCCACAGCATATGGCGTATGTTGGTTTTAAATCTAAATGTCCGTTTTAACTATAGGCTCTATTTTCTTTTATTTTACTTTTATACCAATGCACTAGCTAGCCAGAGACTCAGGCTCAGGAGCCAAACAGTGCTAAGAAAGTATTATTAGGCCTATTATTATATTAAAATTAAGTAGGGTAATCTATCGTTTTGGCACGGTTTTGGGTACGTAAAATCGACCGCGACTAGTAATGTGAAAAAACAGGTGACTCCTTACATTTTAATAATTATTTCACATTTTGAGGAGGATTTATGTTTTTTAAAATACAAAAATGTTTCCTTGTTCCATTTATGTACCTGTTTTTAAACAATTGAATTAAAACTTTTTCGTAATAAATGAAGACTAGTTTAGCGATGTTTCCAACATATGCAACCATGCTCATTTAATAAAGCAGCCATCTTGTTTAAGTTTGTTTTGTATTAGCTAATAGCGCGCGATTCAGGGGGAAGCCACTCTATTTTACAAATATAGTAAATCTTGCTCTCAGACGCTGCTGTTTAAAGTCAATTTCTGGCCTATATAGATATATTTAGCCATTGATTTAGGTTTATTATTCATTTATCTATAATATTTGACACAAATATATGAAAATACAGTTCTATTAAGCCTTGACAATGAGGTAACGTTTTCGTACATTAATAGCCGCGGGCGATTTTACGTACCCAAAACGATAGATTACCAAAGTAAGAAAGAAGTGTTATTGTTTTACTTTACTAGATCTAGTAGTAGTACTGTATACTAGATCTAGAATTTAGATCTAGTTTTATTAGAGTAATTCATTGGTCGATGTTTCAAGTCGACCCTTTGTATCTCAAGCTGACTCAAGTTTTAACTAAATCAAGCTTTATTTATAAATTAGATGTGTAAACAAGATCAGGTCATTCATACGGGCCACATTTTATTTTGGCCTACTATTTGTTGTTATTAAATCCGTTAGGCTAAATGTCATGTTTTTTTTTTGTTTTTTACCCAGTTACCCCCAACTCCACATCTTCACACACTGTGTCATAAAATTAAAATCAAAATGCTAGGCCTATAGTATTTTCCATTATAACACTGTCTTAAACCTAACCCCTCACACCTGCCCTCAAGTTGCTGTTTTATTTCTAAAATATTAATTTAATCTTGATTAGGTTGTTGATCACTTTTTATTGCAATTCAAAACAAATGCTAAAATTCATTTTAAAATAAATGTATGTAGATCTAGATTCTTCTAGGGCTAGTTCAAAAGTGAAACCTAAATTTTCTCATCCCACAAACAAAAGAAAAATAGCATTTGCAACTCACATTTAATAAAATTAGGCCTAATGTATCCTTTTTTTTTTCTCTCACTTCAAACATTTAGCCTAAAATATATGAAAACAAGACTGGAAACTTTGTTACTGGAGTTGATGTCACATCTGAAGTAAGGCTGGCATATTCTAAAATACAGATATTCTAAACTTATGATTTATTCATTATTTTTAAAAATAAATTGCTTTGTCTTTTTCACTTCAAATTTTGTAAAGTTGCCTAAAACATTATCAACCACAAATACATTAAATCTGTATTAAAGTATTACAACACACGTTTTTATAATTGCATGATTTAAGAACACTACACATGTTTTATACAATCTCTAAGCTCCCTTTTACATTTTCTGTGCTAATGAAACATCTATATTTTTTCATAGATGAAACAATGGTGTTTTGTAAATATTGATAGACAAATCAGTAATTTTTTAAAAAGTTTTGATGATTATAATTATATTAACGCATGCTAGGAAGCAAGTGAGCAGAGAGATAAACGTGCCAAGCGCTTTGGAACTTTGAGTACTCCAAAACAGCCAATAACAGATGTGGATATCAAAAACCTTCACAAAAGGTATGAAGTTAAGCATTTACAAATGGGTGGTGTGTATTCATCTCCTTATTGATCTCCAGAAACTTCTTGCAATCATCCGGCTATTTAGATTTAAATTAAATTATTAAAATGTTTTTTAAACATCTATGCAAGACTGCTTCAATAGGTTTTGTTCAGTACTGTTGACCTGATAATTAACAAAAAACAGAGTAAGATGAAGAAACCTGTCACTGTTGAGAAAATAAAAACTTATGAAACTTGTAGATGGATGCTTATTATTATACATTATAGGGTGTATAACATATTTGTGCTTTCAGTCTAGGAATGAATATCGAGAAACTGGATGAGGACCCTCGTGGATGGCGGATGGAAGCCATTTTATTGCGAGGCACTGAAAACATGAGCACTAAAGATGTGTTTGAATATTTTTCCGAGTATGCACCAAAAGGTGTTGAGTGGATTGATGACTTCTCTTGTAAGTCTCTACATACTTGTTTATGACAAAGATTTTAGAGTTGCACACTTAACAAAATGTTTTTTAAAATATTCTGATGTTTCTGTCATTACCAGGTAATGTGATCTGGTTAGACAAGCTAACCCCAGCCAGGGCGCTACTAAAACTTAGCCAAAGTTTTAGCGAAGTGCACCCAGATGCTGAAGGTAAGTTGCAGTTTTTGTGGGTCTATGGCAGTACTTAAGTTTTTAAGTATGGCAGTTTTAGGTCAGGCTGTTTGTATGTACTTAACCTTCATGATTTGACTTATATTCCTTTGTGGCACCTCTCCATCTGACTTTGTTTTGAGCGGCTCTCTTTATTTGCACCTATGTAAGCCCTGCAGCCCTTGCCTCGTTTTCTATTTAACCTTCGCTTAGTTAATTAAAATTAGTGTTACATAAAAATTGCTCAGTTGTCACATTGTTGGCTTCTAATTTGGTAGGTTCAAGGTGTTAGTAACTTCATTATAAAAAATTGCTTTAATATAAAATCCTTGCTTTTAAAAAAGAACCTTTTTTCTGTTGCTGTTAGTTATCATAAAATTCATGATATATTGACAAAATAAATTGCTATACATTTCCCAAATAAAAAAAACTCATGTTATTCTAGATGGTTTTTGTTCAATTTTTGCAATAAAATTCATCTTTAATTTACTTTCCAAACTTTATGAAATTTGTGTGTGTTGTGTAGGGGAGAAAAACAAAGAACAGAAGAGTGAGACGGCCAGTCAAGATGTAGACAATAAGACAACCACGGAGACCAAAGACAGCATTCCAGCAGAACCCCCGCAAGACAAACCTACAGAGAAGAAGGAACCAGTGCTGAATGTTCTGGAAGATGAAGTCATGGAACTTGATTATGACGATAATCTGGACCTGACTGGGGAAGACCCTATCGACCAGGCAATGTCCACTTGGTCAAACTTCACACAAAACAAGAAGGAGAGGGCAGAGAGGGCGGCGGCCACAGCCGTGCGGAAATCTATTGACGAGCTGTCGGCCAAAGAGAAAATATCAGAGAAAGTTTCAGAGAAAGACCAAGATGATTCTCATTTAAAAACGGGTAAAAAAGTGAAAAGTTTGAATAAGGAACCCAGCAGCAGTCTGGTTAAATCTCACAGAGATAATCAGAATAGAAAAGTGTTACCAAGTGTAGACGGGGTTAAGAAAACAGAGGAGTCTGGTCAACATGGCAGCAGGAACAAAGACAGTCTGACAGGGAAAAAGGTTGAAGCTAAGGCCAAACCAAAGGATGGCCTCGACAAAGTGAGAGCGTCCAAAAAAGAAAAAATGGAAGTGGATGACGCCTCCGACTCTGAGAGCAGTAGCTCATCGTCGTCATCCGGCTCATCCAGCTCTGGCTCTGGTTCGGATTCCGGATCAGATTCGACATCATCCACCTCTTCTTCTGGATCATCATCCTCGTCATCATCCTCAGGCAACTCTTCTAACTACAGTAAACAAAAAATGGTAGGCTGTTTATTTTGTTTGGGTAATTGTTCAACCATTGATACATTGTATCATTTGCGACAATTGTCTAGTACATTTTACAACTTTGATTTTGCATTTAACACTAACATTTTTATAATTATACCATATCTGTAAAAGCACCTTGTATTCCTTATTAATATACTCTGTACCTTATTCTCATTTATTTTTAAATCTTAAGGAACCATTTCCAGTTTAAAGTTCTGTTCTTTAAAAAATATATTTCTGTGCATTGTGTTGAGCTAGAAAAGCAGTAAATATCAAAGCTTTAAAATGTTTTTGTCATGAAGGTTATAATTAAAGTGTTGTTGATTCTTTTAATCCAGAAAAAAACCCGCTCAGAGAGGGATATGGCAAGAAATTTAAAGAAAACCAAAAAACCCGAAGCTCCCCCCATCCCACCTGTGGCTAGGGAGAGGAGTGAAATCCCGTGGCCCCCTGGGTTCTGGCGGTTAGGCTTACCCCACATCAAGGCGGAGTTTCTCTTTATGAGATATGCCATGAAAGGTGAGTGTCGCAATCTTGCTTTGCTCCTAACTCGCCTTACTTCTTGTCTTTAGTTTCATGGCATGCACAGTTACACTGAAGCCTAGTGTGTGGCTCTCTTTGACCTGTGATGGTCAGTGTGTGGGGCAATTGTCCAGATAGCTGGTGTGTGGGTCAATCATTTACCTGGTGTCAAAAATTGTGTAGTTCCATTACTTTTCTGAAGTTAGTGTTGGTCAGTAAAAAGGTTGTAGGTCAATGAATTTTCTCTTTGTAAAAGTTAATTAAACAACATAGTAATGAAGACACAAGTATTAAAGCCATCCCTAAATCACCACAGTAATGAAGACACTAGTGTTACAACCATCCCTAAATCAACATAGTAATGAAGACACAAGTGTTGAAACCATCCCTAAAACAACATAGTGTTAAAACCATCCCTATATCAACACAGTAATGAAGACACTAGTATTAAAACCATCCTTAAATCAACATAGTAATGAAGACACTAGTATTAAAGCCATCCCTAAATCACCACAGTAATGAAGACACTAGTGTTACAACCATCCCTAAATCAACATAGTAATGAAGACACAAGTGTTGAAACCATCCCTAAAACAACATAGTGTTAAAACCATCCCTATATCAACACAGTAATGAAGACACTAGTATTAAAACCATCCTTAAATCAACTTAGTGTTAAAACCATCCCTAAATCAACATAGTAATGAAGACACTAGTGTTACAACCATCCCTAAATCAACATAGTAATGAAGACACTAGTATTAAAATCATCTCTAAATCAACACAGTAATAAAGACACAAGTGTTAAAACCATCCCTAAATCAACATAGTAATGAAGACACTATTATTAAAACCATCCCTAAAACAACATAGTAATGAAGGCACTAGTGTTAAAACCATCCCTAAATCACCATAGTAATGAAGGCACTAGTGTTAAAACCATCCCTAAATCTTTTCCTCCCACCAGCTGACAAGAAACTGCCAGGTGCAGAGAAAAGAAGCAAGTATTATGTCAAGTATGGGAACCCTAATTTTGGAGGTAAAATATATTTTTATATTGATTTAAAAACTATGTTTCTATCATGTCTTTTACATTGGAATGAATTTTGGGACCAGCACAACACAGCACAGTTTTGTTAATGACACATTTCTAACATTTTCAAAACAACTGTCCACCACTTAACAATATATTAAATGTAAATGCATGTTTTATTTCTACATCCTACAGGTATCAAAGGGTTAATCAGTAATTCCAGGTACATTTATATTACATTTTTTTTTTTAATTTTGAAAATTACAATTAGCCACTCATTACATTTATCGTTTTAAATCTGAAAGATTTATTGGAACTTATTTATTTTGACACTGACTTTTATATTTTAAACTTTAATTAGAACATATAAGCTTATTTGTTTTTGTATATACAGTTAGAATGATCTCTTATTCTTTAGGAAACGTCGGTTACGTAATGTAGGCCAAGACTTTTATATTTCAAACTTTAAGTAGAACATGCTGATTTGTTTTTGTATATACAGTTAAAGCAATCTCTTATTCTTTAGGAAACGTCGTTTGCGTAATGTAGGCCGAGATAGCCATGACGATGACAGCTTTGATGTGAGTGATGACTTATCTGATAAAGCCTCATCCAGGCTGTCAGGTCGTATTGGCAGTCGAGGTGGCACAGAGAAGCTGGTCAGCGAGCCAAATTATTTTGAAGACGGTGAGGTAGCTGACGAGGAAGAAGCTGTTAGGCCCAGTTTGGCCGAGGGAAAAGATTTGAGGGATTTTTTAAACAAGGAGACCAAGTCAGCAAAATCATCACAAGGTAAGTCATGTCGTCAGCCTCGTCTTATGTCGGTCAAGTCATCTGGAAGTCGTATCTGAACTGGTAAAAAAATATGTTTAGCTACCAGTGAAGATTTGAGTATAACCTCCCAATCCCAGGGTTCGTACGCAGTCTGGAAAGTCTGGAAAAAGTCTTGAATTTCGAAAAGTGAATTTAAGACTTAAAAAAGTCTGGAAAATCGCTAGTTTTTGGGCAGGATTTTTTAAAAGTCTGGAAAAAGTCTGGAATCTAGTTTTAGAAACAAAACTTCGTAGTCCATATTTTCCAACTTAAAAAATTGCTATTTTTAAGTGAATTTACTCCAATTTTTTTTGCCGCGCTATCGCGCGGGTTTACACTATGTTGTGACGTTTTTCCGCTGGTTCGCAGAAAAAATGCTCAGTTACTACGTCATTGGGAGAAGAGGGGAAGGGAGGGAAGAGATATTTTGTGGCACGACTGACCGTGTGAATGTGTTACAAGTACTTACAATTGTCGTTTAATAAAAGAATGATCGCTTACTTTGGATTAATATTAACATTTATAAGATTAATAAGTCGCAAGGCCTCCTGGGTTCATACCTGTATTTCTGTTTTGCTTCAGCTTAACAATGAGGTACTATTTTTATTTAGGATTCGTCCATAAATGACGTCACACTCCGGAAAGTCGGGAGGAGGGTTTTATAAAGTTTGACGACACGCTCTTGCAATAATGTTAGGGCAGATATAAATACCGTGTTTTATTTACACGCTGTGATGGTTTTTAAAACACCAGCACAGTCGTCTTAATTTTACTTTCTACTCGCAAGATACAAGTTTTATGTTTGTTTTAGAATGTAATCACAAAATCTTCCGACCCCTTCCCACTTCCATGTGTACGTCATAAATGGGTGACCCCTTTAATTTTAATTCACCTTCCATTAAACTGTTTTTGAAATCTTTGCAAATGCTGACGATTAAAGTTAGACTACCCCGCCCCTCCTTGTAACATCGGTCACTTGCGTGAACTCACCGTGAGCCCAAGTGCGTAGTTGGTACCGCTTGGTAAGTAGGGTGGGGGAGGGGGTATAAGTCACAGCACAGTTCATGTTATGACGTATTAAACAGGCATATTGAAGTCTAGACTACTATGACCTCACAGTCACCCCTTCACCATGTCGTGTCTGTGGGGGGGGGGGGGGGGGAAGAAGGATACCGGCAACTTTTTTTTTTATTGCAGACCCGGTTAAGCACAGTGAATGATTTTTTATTTATTTTTTTTTTGCTCCACATGTTTTTTACAAGTAGCCTATATTTATTTAGGCTACTTAACAAGAGCAGACCTAAATTAATACATTACATTATTATTCTTTAAAGTAATTAACTCTCACTCTTATGCAATACCATTTTAATGATAGTTTAATTGAAAACTAAGCAATTAGATCAGGAACAGATTATATAACTCTAATGTTGAAAACAAAATAGTTGCATCATTTTAATCAATTATTTTAATTATTAAAATTTTAGGTAGGGTGGAGTAGGCAATCTTAGAAAAATGATTTTCTGTCAGTTTGGCTAGAGAAAGTTCAATATGAATATAGGTCAACTGCCTAAAATAAATGTCAATTTAGTATAAGTAATTATAATGACAGTACAAATAGTGCATCATTTAAAAAAAAATTATTCGCTAACACATTATCTGTCTAAAGTCTGGAATTTTTCCAAAAAAGTCTGGAAAATGTCTGGAAAAAGTCTGGAATTTCATTTTCAAAAAGCAGTACGAACCCTGCAATCCAGGCTGATGTTATATTTACTATCAGACATTCTGATAGCAACAGATCCATGTTTATACCTCTATGTCTGTTTGATGACTCCTAACAGAAGCAGCGAAAGACTCAGATGATGAAATGGATTATGGGGCGGAGCTTGAGAGGTTGATGGGAGACGATGCCCCGCCCACAAAGAAAAGGTTCATGCGTATGCATGCTGACGATGAGGAGGAGAAGATTGAAAGAACAAAAAGGTATTTTTTTAATTGCCACTGTTCTAGTGCCTGCTGTATTAGTTCAGTGGTTCTCAACTTGTTAATAACCTGTAGATCTTGGGTTTAATAGGGTTCTAAAAATAGATGCATGCTTGTGTTTTAATTTTATTCTAGATCTTTTTAATTTAAAAATATGTAAATAGCCATGATTTTTAAATTGAATCTATTACCTCCATTTTTTTTCTCCCTTAATATTTTTAATAGTTTAACTTTAGGAAGTGTTGCATTTTTATATGTAGGTTTTTGTTAAAAAATTACCAAGTTTTATCTTTCTGTCTCAATTCTACTTGGATTTAATCATCTATCATCAGGTATTATCTATATATTTTTGTAATCACCACCTAGGCTTGCAGCAAAGATGCAGAAAGAGGTGAAGAAATGGCAGAAGAATAAAGAAATTTTTGATGAATATCCAGAAGACGAAGGAGAGGTAGTGGAGGAAGAGGAAGAATACCTGCCCGTGAAGAAAGAGTGGGTGGACTACGACAACGTGGAAGATGACGACCCGTTCAATTTGTTCGGGGTGTCGAAAGTTGAAGCCGTCAAAAACTACAAGTCAGGTGATGACCATGAGGATGATTGGGACCGGAGGAGGGGGGATAAGAACATGAAACATAGACTTGGTGGGGGGTATGCTGGCTCGAAGGGTCAAAGGGTAGAGTTACCAGCGGGGACAATTGATCTCAGGGCTAAGCTTCAAGGGAAAAGAAGGGCGGGTAACCAAAACTGGTAATTTTTTTTTAATGTGGAGCTCTGGTTTATTTAATTAAGTTGTTTTATGAAGGGGTAAAAAAAATTGGTTTATAGTCAAAACTTTTTCACTGCCTGTCTGTTATGTAAAGAATTTAGTTCCTTAGTAATGTTATTGTCAGTATCTGTGTTTTACACCAATAGTATTTCATAGATTTAAAATCCAAGGCTTGTCAGAATTAGGTGGACTATGGTGTTAAACTAAACTTGGATAAAGAAGATTTAGATGTCTCACTCATCATTGACTGGTTCTAGTAAATTATAAAGTTGATTGACAATCAAAAAGGCTTTATGTTTATTTTGTTTATACTCTAATAGAAAATATCTGCCCTACAGATACATAGGGTAGACCCCTACTAATCAATTATTTACCAGTTAGGTCCCTTGGCTTATGAAGAAATATATATCCCTTGGCATTAAAATAAAGAAATGACCAAAAGACTGACAGTGTGTATATGATATGGTGAATGTTTGTATGTTTTGTGTTTGATTGATGCAGCTACTGTGTGTGATTGTAAGGCAATTTTAAATAAATGTACTATTGTGAAATTTTTTAAAATGTGTTCTTGTTCTTATTGTGTAGAAATGTTCCAAAATTTAGCGCATAAATTTTACCTTCAGATATTTATTGCTAATAAATGAAACAATAAAAGGAAACTTCTGGCACTTTAGTAAAGAAATATTTTTTTACAATATAAACTATCACCAACCCATTTTTCTTCTTCATCTACCCTAAAGAATGTTTGACATCAACCATCTATGTAAAATTTCAATGCTAAAAAATCTGGTAATCCCATGGTGTCTGTAAGACGTTAAATAAAAAATTGTTTGAGTCTTGAGGAAAATTCTAGATTTAAATATTTTTTAAAATTGTAATTTTAAATAGATCCAACCACCTATTATTAAGGAAGTAAATATGAATTAAAGTCCGTAAGGAGTTCTTCTTTCTACGAGTCATTAGTTGTTATGATAGTAAATGTTAATACTATACTATATGTGATTCTTTGAATCACATAACAGTTTCTGTTTGTGATTGTAATTTCAAAAATGCAATAAGGGTCCGCCTTATTCAAAAGCTTCTTGTTTTGTAATAGGCTTTGTAAGGTCAGCTAAAAGAGCCACCTCAACTTTGGTTTTGAGTCTGGTACCCATCACACTAGAATGTCCTCTTAGTTTTAGACTTGAACAGAACTGAAGGTGTACTAAGTCTTTTATGTAATGAGAAAGAAAAATCTTCAGATTAAAAAATCATTTTTATTTCTGAGTTTTAATGTTTAACATCCTGTTTTTTTTCCTTGAACAAGGGTACAGAAAACAACAAGCAAATGTTTACAACTTGTGAAGATTTCAGCAGTACATCATGATATGAATTAAGTGTTGGGTATAACAATTGATGAGGTGCTTTTTTATATGCCCTCAATATATTTGAACAATTTTTATACAAATTTTTGTGTTACAGAGTTAAAAAAAAACAATAAGGATTAGACAAAGAACTGTTACCAAACAAATTAATTGACTTTTTAGAATTATCAGAAATTATGTAACATTTATTCACACAAGCGCAACACCATTTTTAATTAGTTACTATCTAGAAAGCATCCAGATAAATGTCTAGAGGAAAATTCTGAAATAATCTAAATATAAACAATTTCTTACTATTAGATAACAAAAAAAGTGAAAAAAAAAAAGATTAAATGTTTTATAACACCTAACTTCCCTACACTATAATAATTAATATTTATTTTTCTTTGAAAATATGTTTAAAAAGTAAATGTGTAATTTTTATCACTTTTATGGCTTCATTTTACAACATTCACACATGAATGATTAATGAAGTAAATATGTTACTCGTCCAATTTAACGTTTGAAATTTAAAAAATGATCTGGATTTCAAGGGTTTTTTTTTTTTGTTTTAAAACAAATCACAGTTTGGACTTTCAATGTGACGTAGTTTTCTTTCAGCTGTTCTCTCATTTTAAACAAGAATATTTGGGTTGCAGCGCCATACTTGGAACTGAAATTAAAAAAATGTATTTTCCTTTTAAGCTCAAGAAAAATGGGTGCGTATATATTTACTAATATACAGAAAATATTATTTTAAAATATATTTATTTTTATGTCAAGCCTGATTATAATCATATCTTTTTCTTTAAAAAAGCTATTTTATTTTAGATAAATAAAGTAGATAAATGTATAAAAGTTGAGTGGATGATAGTTGCAGGTTGTGTTTGTTTCTGAAGTGTTGTCAATTGTCCAGAAAGAAAGTACTTACATTGTCGACAAAGCCAACCAGGCTAGCATAGTTGAAGCCATAGCCAAGGTGAAGAGCACACATTCTCATATCAATGTAATCTGGTGAAAAAAATATTTTATTAGCTGTCATTCTCATATCAATATAATCTGGTGAAAAAAATATTTAATTAGCTGTCATAGTTTAAAGGTCAGTAATCATCTAATCTAAATTGGTTATGAATTAACACAAATTTTTTTACACTAAAAGCAAAGAATTTTTTTTAATTTTTACAGATTTGTTTTAATATCTTAAGGAAAACTCTACTCACTGGAGAGGACTACTTTCCCAGTGTATTTTTGTGTATTTGCTCCAACCTTTCCAGAAAATTCAAACGCCTCTGGGCTCAATCGCTTGTACACCAAAGCCACATCAAACCAGCCATTCTGAAAACAAAACAAAAATTTATTACCCAATAATTCTTCTCCATTCTTAATTTAAATGTAGGACGAAATTTCCTCCAACACAATTAAGTATTATGTGTCAACATGTTTTGCATCATATGGCCAGTTGACTCAAATATGCTTCCATAGCCATTGTTTATTCAATAACAAATTACAAGGCAGCACTGTTCCATTTTGGAGTTTTCTTGCCTTGATATATTGCTGTCCCCAGCTATCAAGCACCATCTGCCCAGAGGTTCGAACTCAAAACTTTTCCTTGAGGTGACGAATTGTATATATAAATCTACAAACACTTACCCTATCAGCAAGACCAGCAAATGGAATAGCTATCTCACAAGGTGTGTCTGATTCTAGTTGATAAATCTGTTGAAACCATTGATATATTTTGTAAATTATAAAACAAAACAAAAATAACAAGCATGGAAAGACGATTTAAATTTCTAGCTTTGACATTTTACACCACTAGTATGCATAAAATAGTTAAAACTGATTCTTATAAGATTAATTAATTATTTAAGAAACTTGTCAATAGAATAAATTGCCTAGCAGATATAAAAAGTTGTTCATTAACTATTTCACACACCAAGTTGGATAAAAATGGTAACTGCAGTAAGGTTTATGCAAAAAGTTATAAAAAAAAAAGTTGTGTTAGTAGCTTCACAAATTTAAGACCAAGATGGAGACGGGTGAGAGCGGTGGTCAAACTTAAGGATGGTCAGCCCCTAACATAATTTACTACTTAAACTAAACAGTTCTGACATGAATAATCCCTGAGGTAGGGATCACGAGCCTCACCTTAAAATAGAAATTTGTGCTGTCCATGGTAATGGACACAGACTCTTTCACCCTGCAGTCAGCATTGGTTGCCACGGCAACCCTCTGGTTTCCAGTGGGAGGGTGGGGCACAAAGAGCTTCATGTTGATTTGGAAGTAGTCGGTGTAGAACCCTGAGCCAGCAAAGTACTTGAAGACTATGTTGTCTGAACCCTGCATTGAACAACACACACAGTCAGTCAGTCAATAGGCTTATGAATTTATAAACACAGTAGGCTTATTCATTTATTAACACAATAGGCTTGCACATTTATAAACACAGTAGGCGTATTCATTTATTAACACAATAGACTTACACATTTATAAGCACAGTAGGCCTATTCATTTATTAACACAATAGGCTTACACATTTATAAGCGCAGTAGGCGTATTCATTTATAAACATACAGTTAGAAGGCTTATTCATTTATAAACACAGACAGTAGGCTTACTCAGTTATAAACACAGACAGTAGGTTTCCCCATGTATAATGACTAGGCTTACTCATTTATAAATGCATAGTTAGTTGGCTTATTCATTTATAAACTCTGTAGGCCTACTCACTTATAAACACAGTCAGTAGGCTTACTTATTTATAAACACAGTCAGTTGGCTTACTTATTTATAAACACAGTCAGTTGGCTTACTTATTTATAAACACAGTCAGTTGGCTTACTTATTTATAAACACAGTCAGTTGGCTTACTTATTTATAAACACAGTCAGTTGGCTTACTTATTTATAAACACAGTCAGTTGGCTTACTTATTTATAAACACAGTCAGTTGGCTTATTCATTTATAAACACAGTCAGTTGGCTTATTCATTTATAAACACAGTCAGTTGGCTTACTTATTTATAAAATCACAGCATGTGTCAACTTACACTAAAGTTAGCCACCGAGCCAATGCCAGGGAGGAGAACCCTGGGGACATGATCCTCCTCTGTGACGCCCTCGGTCTCAAATGTGAAGTTGATGACAGCGTCACATGCTGGGGAATGAGGGAGAAAAAAATAAAGATTAAATGTTAGGTTGGGGGGGGAGCTCAAAAGTTCCAAGTTTGGACCCTGGGCATATGAAGCTAGTTTGCTAGAAACAGCAACCCATCTAAGAGAGAAAACTCCTAAATCAAACTACTGCAGCAAATCCAGAAAGAAAAGCAGACTGAATTCAAAGTCAACAGGCCAAATGGTTCATAACAGGTTGACACTTAATTCTTAATTATGTTGGAGGAAATATTCTCCAATAAAAGAAAAAAGAAGATGAATATGTACATCTGTTCATTTGATAAATGTATTTATTCCCTAGATGAGTTCATTTTCCAAAACTTTGGCAAACACCCACCAGAGCTGGATTGTTGACTAAGATGGGTGTCCTTTTGGTTTTACTTAGCAATAAATCTTGTAAATTAAGGAAAATACAAATATCCAGTAGGCTGATTATTTACCTAAAGGTCACTAACTGATCTTTTACCTAAAGGTCACTAACTGATCACCTACCTAGAGGTCACTAACTGATCTTTTACCTAAAGGTCACTGACTGATCTTTTACCTAAAGGTCACTAACTGATCACCTACCAAGAGGTCTCTGACTGATCTTTTACCTAAAGGTCACTGACTGATCTTTTACCTAAAGGTCACTAACTGATCACCTACCAAGAGGTCTCTGATCCACCAAATGTCTACAGTTGCAGATGGTCAGATCCATAATGTCTCCAGTTTGACATCTCAGCTTGGCCCAGGGCACTTCCTTGTAAAAGTATTCGTTGGGGTCGTTGGCGGTGACAACAAATGGACACTCCACTGAAGTAGAAAAGTTTGAAATATTATTATTATTTCTGTGGGTAAGCATTTATATTTTTGTGATTTTAGAGTTTTTAAAAAGTTTCTCAATTTTTTTATTTCATTTTTTACTTTTAAAAAAAAAAGTAGTTAAAATATTGAAAGTAGGCCTACTAATAATTTTATTACACAAAAAAGTTTAAAAGGGAAGTAAGTAGAATTTTCTTTTCAGTATTATAATTTTAGAATAATAATAATATAGTAAGCTTTTAGGCCTAATCTTTTTTTTAAAATATATTCAGAAGAAAGCAATTTCCTTTTTTTAGAAATGTCTGTCTCACCTGTATTATTATTGCAGATCATTGGTGCCTGTGGTCCGCAGGTCACTGGGCAGTTTGCGTTAGCCACACACCTTTGAGTCCTGGAATCAAATCCTTGTCCAGCCTCGCAGCAGCCTTTGCCAGAGAGCTTCCTGTTGGCGTCACACTCCCAGTAACTCTGGCATGAACCAGGGTCTGGATATTTGGAGCCTGGAGCCATGGTTTGGCACTTGTCTGGACACAAAAATGTAATTTAGTCAAGACTATTGTACTCTTGCAAAGCCCAAAACATTTCTAGTTAAATTGCAGAAAAACAAAAGATAAAATTTTGATAGTCAAAAGCCATATAACTAATGCACTAAATTATTTTTCTATTAAATTTAAAACCGTGATTATAACACATATTATCCTTCAATTATGGTTCAAAATCATTATCTATACAATTCTAGTAAAGATTATTTAAAATCATCATTTAATAATGCTTAAACATAATGAATTTTTTAGCCATTATAATTTTTTCAAAGACTATTTAAATTGTTATTAATCCATACACAGTTCAAAATAAAATTTCAAGAATAAAAGCTGAACCCACCTGCTAAACAAATACCATTCTCCAAAAAGTCGCATCCCCTCCATCCATTGGGCCTGGTGATGTAGTATGTTCCTGGTGCACAGGACATGATGAAGGGAGTGAACTCTGAAGGACGCACTGCAGGATCTCTTGTGGAGGAGTTCCCTGAGGGCACACAGTTGACAAACAGGTCGCAGTATCCCACCACTCCAGCATGATAATGGCCGTTGTCATAGAAGCAGTTGTCACAAAGCTGAGCTGTAGAAAATAACATGTTTATAATAAAAGCTGGTTTTTTATCAGTAGAAAATAACATGTTTATATTAAAAGCTGTATTTTTAGCTGTAGAAAATAACATGTTTATATTAAAAGCTGGGTTTTTGTTTGTTTTTTTGCTAGGTACATACAAAATAGCTGATAGAAATGATTCATGAATTATTTAACCATATGTATTATATATTTAGTTATTATCTGATGATGGCTCAAAGTTCAGTGTGTCATCAAATCTAAATTGGTTATGAAGTAGCACAGTATTATTTAGACTAAAAACAAAGAAAAAATTCTAAATTTACCAGCTTACCATTATACAAGTGTTTTTTTTATATCTCAGCTGGTATTGCATATGAACTCAATGCTAACATTATGTTACATTAACTTTACCACTAATATTGACCTTTGACCCCACCCTAGCCCCAACTAAATCTAACCCCCAAGGAATAAATAAAAGTAAGCCTACAAGTACTCTAGCATTAGAAATACTAGCTATAGCCTACCAATATCTTGATGGAAGCTTTAATCAATTAAATGTGAAATAAAAATGGGTTCTAAAAAACTGAAGGTACGAACAAATCCTATTACAAAATTAACGAAGTCAGATTATTTTGATTACCTTGAATTCTGATTTCACACCGAGGGCCAGCAAAATTAGTTCCACAAGCACAGAAACAGCGGCCATTACAGTCCTTGTAGGCAACCTGGTTATTTTCACATGTCAGTTCGCTACGTGAGCAGACAGCATATGTAGTGACAGGGTCTGTGGGTTTAAACATACAATGTGCCTATAAATCATACATTGTACATTTTTTTTAATTAGGTGTAAAGTGATTTCAGCACAGTAATACATGCTAGACTCTGTTACATCATCAATGTAAAAATTTATACAAAATTTTGTGTGTGTGTTAATTTTGAAATTAATCTTTGAAAATGTTTATCAACATTGCTTACAGACTTCCATGGCAATGTTTCAAATCTGGTCAATTTTACACCCTGGTAAATGAATAACATAGGACGGCGTAGCCTAGCGGTTGAGAGTTCTACTGTTATCCCAAAAGTCTCGAGTTCGAATCAGGGTTCAGGTCCGTAGAATGTGCCTGAGTCCACCCAGCTCAGATGGGTACCTGACTTACATTAGGCAAACAAAGGCAGCTGGGCATAGTGCCTACCACACTAACCCTTCATATACCGAAGTCTCTGAAAAAGATGAACTCTACTTCATCTACCCGATTTGTCTTGGCCACTAACGGGAAAAGATAATAAAATGAAAAACATAAAAGAAGCCTGGATGAAAATTTACCAAACCTGTTTAAGGATATAATACCTTGTCAAAAACAAATTGTCAGTATATATAAGTTAATATAATAAGTTTAATAAGCCTTTTTATACCTAGACATCTAAATCATTAATTACAAAGCGTGTACTTTTAGTCACAGCTAAATCCATTGACTGCACTTAGATACTTTTCCAAAAAATTAAATTTTTAGTTTTTGATTTTTTTTTTTTTAATGGAAAAGCACTGATTGTCTCCTCAACAAACCCAAAAACAACCTTATCATCTGTTTCACACATAGGGATTAATCAAATATCGCAGATGGAGAAACTTAGCTGAAACACTATCACAAAAATTCACATACCACATTGCCTGGTGGTCTGATTGAAAGAAAATCCCTGAGAACACTTGCATGAGCAGTCAGACCCTTGAATACTGTTTACTGGGCAATTCTGCGGACAGGTCTGTCTTCGTTCTGAATAGATTAATTTGCAGAATGTATTGTAAATGCAGTAGGCCTATGCGGAGGCAGAATAGTTGTTAATTTAAGTATACATATTGCTAATGAGCAAGTAATCAATGTTAATGCTAACTGATTTAAGTTTAAGCCTACTAAAAAATGTTAGCACCAATAAAACTCAGTTAAACTTGCAAATTTTCATATTGTAGCCAATGCAAATTTCCACATATTATGTAGGCTAATGTAGGCCTATGGGATGCATATTTTGATAGATCAATTATTAATTTATTAATTGCTTTATTAATTTAAGATTTCTTGTCCAAAAACAAGTTTTAACATTTATTACAGAATTAATTCAATTTGAATCAAGTTGATTAAAATATAATAATTAATTTTTAAAAAATCAGTAGGCCTAATGGTCGACATGGTGGTCAAGTGAGAACTTAACAGATCTATTAATTACCACATATATTTCTTGCACTGTTGTAGACTAGGTTGGAATCAAAGCACAGACAATCACAAGTGCCTTTTCTTTCAGCATTGATAGGGCACTGTGATGGACAAACTGTAAAGGATAAAATAAATGTCAAATGATTTTTTAAAGTAGGCCTATTGTTTTAATTATTTGGCAAAGTATTTAGAATAATAGGAATAAATATATTACTAGGCCTATACAAAGAATTAATTTATTCATATTTATTAAATAAATTTACAAAAAATATATCCTATTAAATGACTATCACTTTTTAAAACTATGATAATTATTATTAACACAGCAGACTGCCTTGTTAGTATTTTATACATTGTACATAGTCTACATGTTAAATTGTTATTCTGTACTATACCTTGATTTATATACAAATATATGTATTTTAGTTAGTAGGGTATTTAAAATTAAAATTATTGATTTAAAAAAATTAAATCGTCAGGGCCTAAATGTTAGGCCTAATGCCATTAGCGCCATTAGGCTAATGGCTTATCGTTAGCCTAATACTTAATACTAGTTAATAGGCATAGGCCTAGGTGAAATTATTTTCATTTTTTAATAAACATTAATTAAGGACATAGAAAATAAAGAAATTAACAGGCCAAACGCAATTAATTAATGATAGACTACTAACAATAACATTAGAGGGTCTACCATAAATGACGTCACGCTTTTTTCGACGATTTTTACCACCACCCCCTTCCCTCCGTCACACGTCGTGACAAAAAGCCAGACCCCCCCTAAAATGACGTAACATCTCAGCCTAAAAAACATCTATATTTTTCCAAAATCTTGTCAAAACTCTGTCATTGTCAACATAGAGTATTTCGATCATTTCCTAAATCGTTTTCGAAAACGCGAAATGACGGCCAAATCTCGTTTTCTAACATTGATTTTTATAATGCAAAAGAGTGACGTCACACCATCTGAACACCCCCCCCCTCCCCTCATCACACACCATCACAAAATTACGGACCCCCCTCCCCCCTACGAGTGTGACGTCATTTATGGACGACCCCTTATCTCTGCATATGCCGAGGTCACAGAAACAAGTGAACTCTACTCACTTGCCCTATAGACCGTCAGGTTTGAAAAGTGAACTTTACAATTACATTCTACCTAAACTCTATTTTCCGAAAATCGCGAATTCAAGATTTATCTCAATTTGTTTTGTTTGTTTTTTTAATTCTCGTTATAAATAATTTTAATTTAAAATACACATTTCCGATATTTCTTTTTGAAAAATGCGATGTTAAATAAAAATTTCAAGTCTTCAAGGGCGGGAATTATCGAATTATTCAGTTAATAAACGGCTATCTTGGCTACAAAATCCTAGACGATCTAGATCTAGATCTAACATTAAATTAAACCAGGTAAAATCTACAGATTTAAAAGTATATCAACTTTCTGCACCAAGTTATTTTTCAGGCCTACTCAGTAACTAAGTTACTAAAAAGTTAGTACTAGATCTAGATCTAGACTAGATCTAGATCTAGAAACAATCTAGTTAATAGATCGATCTAGAATCTAGATCTCTATCTAGTATCTAGTCTAGCTAAGTTAACAAGACATTAGCAAGTGAAAGTGCCAAGTGAGTCAACACACGGAACTACTTAATATAGTTAAGTTATTTACTACTGACCACAAGTGCAGGATGCAGCATCAAGGATTTGCGGGGCACTGCAGGTCAAAGTGCAAAAGCCCTTGTCTGCAAAAGCAATATATAATAGATAGAAATAATAAAATCTAGTACACAAAATAGGGCAACTACTAAATTTTTTTAAAAATTATAAATAGCCTACTGCTAAAAAAAAAATAAATAGATCTCGAAGCAAATCTGAAAACGAACTTAAATCGTAATAGAAGGAAATAGATATATTAATAGTATTTATTTCTAAATAAAATTAAAATCGTAGTTCAGTGTGGTTAGGGATCGCTTCAGTGAATACACCCAAGTCAGGTCCCCTTTTTAAAACTTTCAATTTTGGAAATTATTTATATAAAGCAAAGTGGTCGGGTGCCCGATCGGGCACTTCCCGGCGCCGCAGAAGATTCAAATTTGGCAGGCTCCTTCATCGGGACGACAGAACACGGGGTCCATCAGTGGCGTAGGCAGGGGGGGGTTAGGGGGGGTCATAACCCCCCCCCCCCCATAGACCCCTCGGTATATATAAAAAGTATGAGGGGGGGGGGGGGTGCAAATCGAAAGTTTGAGGGGGGGTGCAAATCGAAAGTTTGAGGGGGGGGGGGGGGTGCAAATCGAAAGTTTCAGGGGGGGGGGGGTGCAAATCGAAAGTTTGAGGGGGGGGGGGGGGTGCAAATCGAAAGTTTGAGGGGGGGGGTGCAAATCGAAAGTTTCAGGGGGGGGGGTGCAAATCGAAAGTTTGTCCCCGGGTAAAAATTGGAACCCCCCCTTGAGACGATCCTGGCTACTCCACTGGGGTCCATGATGAGGGGTCAAAACTATATATAGAAAAAGTTCCCATGTAGGAACACCTTCATAACTCCTTAGGTCATTTCCACATAGGAACCCTTTGAAAACTTTTGGGGATGTACATGGGCCGAAGGGGGTCAGAAAAAAAATGGTGCTACCCTCGGGAAAAATCCGGAACACTGTTTAACTAACCAGAGGCCACATGTCCTTATACAAACATAGTACTGTTTTGTATGTATGTATATATGTGTGTGTATATATATATATATATATATATATATATATATATATATATATATATATACATATATATACAAATATCTGCAGGTACAAACCCAATCAAAACTCATGAGGTCGTAGAATTACCCGCGGGGGTCACTAAAAAATAGGCGCTATCTTCAGGAAAACTTCGGAAGGGCTTCAGAGGTGGCCGGTCCGAATTCACTATGTAAACATAGTTAATTTGATGAAAAACGATGACTATTTGCAAAACAGATTTTATGGTAGTTTGGCTCTATACATCTGGCTCATTTTTACCATAGACCTGGAAAATTAATCGGCCTTAAGGATAAACTATCGCTCAGCCTCTACTCGCACGGCGAGTGCTAAAAAGTGACCACGGGTGAAAAGCTCCTTATATAAGCTAAATATCGAACAAACTTTTGCCTAACGACCCCCCTTTGATATAAAATGTGTAAAGTGGTCGAAACTGACCAGTCGTATTTTCAACACAGATTTTATGGTACTTACCGTCTGTAAATCAGGCTAATTTTTTGCATGCAATATGTAAATGGCTAGTCGGTTTTACTCAGGGCTAAAAAATGACCGAGCGGCGCAGGGAAGTGCGGGCACTCGACCACTTTATATATATATATATATATATATATATATATATATATATATATATATATATATATATATATATATATATATATATATATATATACCATGTACCATGTACCTAAATTTTATAATCTGTATGTTTTTCTTTTTAATGTGTATAAGGGTAGAGAAAATCGCCTATGACTCAATAAATACAAAATAAAAATAATTAGGACTTATTATACATTTCCTACTAATCTGTTGTATCAAATAATGTTTTCAAACTTATTTTTAAGATGATCCATATTAGTGACCCGTGCCTTAAAAAACTTTAACATTTCTCACCAGGTTATGAAAAAGCGGAATGTTAGCTTTAAGGTTAATGTATTTCTTAAATATACTATTTTACAACATATATGAATATGTTTAGTAACAATGTATAGCCATTACGAAAAGAAAAAATAACGTACCACAAAGCTGTGAACTTGAGTTGTAGATTGCAAGCGTGTCTTTGCACGAGCAGGCACAGGTATTGGGATCCTGAACGGTACTCGCCACGGGGCAGGTGTTGATACATTCACAGCTGCAGGTATTTATGTTCAGCCTTTTGCCTACTGGACACGTTGTTGTACAAATAGCAGGACAAGCACATCGATTAATGACCTCGGCACGCTGGCCGTTAGGGCAGGTATTAGAGCATTCACAAGTGCAACTGTTGGCTGGGTTCGCAACTTGACCACTTGGGCAAGAGTTCGGACATTGGCAAATGCAATTGCTGGGATTTGGTAGAAGACCACTTGGACATCTATTTGCACATTGACAAGCGCATCCATTGTCTGGATTTGGTGCTTGACCACTAGGACATGTATTTGTGCATTCACAAGCGCATCTGTTGTCTGGATTGGGTGATTGTCCTGTTGGGCAGGAATTGGCACATTGACATCTGCATCCATTATTTAGATTTGGTGCTTGACCACTTGGACAGGTATTTGAGCATTCACAAGCGCATCCTCTAATTAGATTAGGTGCTTGACCACTAGGACATCTATTTGCGCATTGACAAGTGCATCCATTGTCTGGATTTGGTGCTTGACCATTTGGACAGGTATTTGTGCATTCACAAGCGCATCCTCTAATTAGATTAGGTGCTTGACCACTAGGACATCTATTTGCGCATTGACAAGCGCAATCATTGTCTGGATTTGGTGCTTGACCATTTGGACAGGTATTTGTATTTGTGCATTCACAAGCGCATCTATTGTCTGGATTTGGTGATAGTCCTCTTTGACAAGTATTTGCACATCTACAAATGCATCCGTTATCTGGATTTGGTGCTTGACCATTTGGACATCTATTTGCGCATTGACAAGCGCAGCCATTTTCTGGATTTGGTGCTTGACCATTTGGACAGGTATTTGTGCATTCACAAGCGCATCCTCTAATTAGATTAGGTGCTTGACCACTAGGACATCTATTTGCGCATTGACAAGCGCAACCATTGTCTGGATTTGGTGCTTGACCATTTGGACAGGTATTTGTATTTGTGCATTCACAAGCGCATCTATTGTCTGGATTTGGTCTTTGACCATTAGGACAGGTTCTTGTGCATTGACAAGCGCAACCATTGTCTGGATTTGGTGCTTGGCCATTTGGACATGTATTTGTATTTGTGCATTGACAAGCGCATCTGTTGTCTGGATTTGGCGATTGACCTGTTGGGCAGGAATTGGCACATTGACATCTGCATCCATTATTTAGATTTGGTGCTTGACCACTTGGACAGGTATTTGTGCATTCACAAGTGCATCCTTTGTTTAGATTTGGTGCTTGACCACTTGGACAGGTATTTGTGCATTGACAAGCGCATCCACTGTTTTGATTAGGTGCTTGACCACTCGGACAGGTATTTATGCATTGACAAGCGCATCCATTGTCTGGATTTGGTGCTTGACCACTAGGACATGTATTTGTGCATTCACAAGCGCATCTGTTGTCTGGATTGGGTGATTGTCCTCTTGGGCAGGTATTTGTGCATTCACAAGCGCATCCTCTGTTTGGATTTGGTGAATAACCTGTTTGGCAGGAATTGGGACATTGACATGTGCATCCAGTATTTGGATTCGGTGCTTGACCACTAGGACATGTATTTGTGCATTCGCAAGTGCATCCTCTGTTTAGATTAGGCGCTTGACCTGTTGGGCAAGAATTGGGACATTGACATCTGCATTCAGTATTTGGATTAGGTACTTGGCCATTTGGACAGGAATTTGTGCATTCACAAATGCATCCTCTGTTTATATTAGGTGATTGACCTGTTGGGCAAGAATTGGGACATTGACATCTGCATCCATTATTTGGATTTGGTGCTTGACCACTTGGACAGGTATTTGTGCATTGACAAGCGCATCCACTGTTTGGATTTGGTGCTTGACCACTAGGACATGTATTTGTGCATTCACAAGCGCATCTGTTGTCTGGATTGGGTGATAGTCCTCTTGGACAGGTATTTGTGCATTCACAAGCGCATCCTCTGTTTGGATTTGGTGAATAACCTGTTTGGCAGGAATTGGGACATTGACATGTGCATCCAGTATTTGGATTCGGTGCTTGACCACTTGGACAGGTATTTGTGCATTCACAAGCGCATCCTCTGCTTAGATTAGGTACTTGACCACTAGGACATCTATTTGCGCATTGACAAGCGCATCCATTGTCTGGATTTGGTGCTTGACCATTTGGACAGGTATTTGTGCATTCACAAGCGCATCCTCTAATTAGATTAGGTGCTTGACCACTAGGACATCTATTTGCGCATTGACAAGCGCATCCATTGTCTGGATTTGGTGCTTGACCATTTGGACAGGTATTTGTGCATTCACAAGCGCATCCTCTAATTAGATTAGGTGCTTGACCACTAGGACATCTATTTGCGCATTGACAAGCGCAACCATTGTCTGGATTTGGTGCTTGACCATTTGGACAGGTATTTGTATTTGTGCATTCACAAGCGCATCTATTGTCTGGATTTGGTGATAGTCCTCTTTGACAAGTATTTGCACATCTACAAGCGCATCCATTGTCTGGATTTGGTGCTTGACCATTTGGACAGGTATTTGTGCATTCACAAGCGCATCCTCTAATTAGATTAGGTGCTTGACCACTAGGACATCTATTTGCGCATCGACAAGCGCATCCATTGTCTGGATTTGGTGCTTGACCGTTTGGACAGGTATTTGTGCATTCACAAGCGCATCCTCTAATTAGATTAGGTGCTTGACCACTAGGACATCTATTTGCGCATTGACAAGCGCATCCATTGTCTGGATTTGGTGCTTGACCATTTGGACAGGTATTTGTGCATTCACAAGCGCATCCTCTAATTAGATTAGGTGCTTGACCACTAGGACATCTATTTGCGCATTGACAAGCGCATCCATTGTCTGGATTTGGTGCTTGACCATTTGGACAGGTATTTGTGCATTCACAAGCGCATCCTCTAATTAGATTAGGTGCTTGACCACTAGGACATCTATTTGCGCATTGACAGGCGCATCCATTGTCTGGATTTGGTGCTTGACCATTTGGACAGGTATTTGTGCATTCACAAGCGCATCCTCTAATTAGATTAGGTGCTTGACCACTAGGACATCTATTTGCGCATTGACAAGCGCATCCATTGTCTGGATTTGGTGCTTGACCATTTGGACAGGTATTTGTGCATTCACAAGCGCATCCTCTAATTAGATTAGGTGCTTGACCACTAGGACATCTATTTGCGCATTGACAAGCGCATCCATTGTCTGGATTTGGTGCTTGACCATTTGGACAGGTATTTGTATTTGTGCATTCACAAGCGCATCTATTGTCTGGATTTGGTGATAGTCCTCTTTGACAAGTATTTGCACATCTACAAATGCATCCGTTATCTGGATTTGGTGCTTGACCATTTGGACATGTATTTATGCATTGACAAGCGCAGCCATTTTCTGGATTTGGTCTTTGACCATTAGGACAGGTTCTTGTGCATTGACATGCGCATCCATTATCTGGATTTGGTGCTTGGCCATTTGGACATGTATTTGTATTTGTGCATTGACAAGCGCATCTGTTGTCTGGATTTGGCGATTGACCTGTTGGGCAGGAATTGGTACATTGACATCTGCATCCATTATTTAGATTTGGTGCTTGACCACTTGGACAGGTATTTGTGCATTCACAAGTGCATCCTTTGTTTAGATTTGGTGCTTGACCACTTGGACAGGTATTTGTGCATTGACAAGCGCATCCACTGTTTTGATTAGGTGCTTGACCACTCGGACAGGTATTTATGCATTGACAAGCGCATCCATTGTCTGGATTTGGTGCTTGACCACTAGGACATGTATTTGTGCATTCACAAGCGCATCTGTTGTCTGGATTGGGTGATAGTCCTCTTGGACAGGTATTTGTGCATTCACAAGCGCATTCTCTGTTTGGATTTGGTGAATAACCTGTTTGGCAGGAATTGGGACATTGACATGTGCATCCAGTATTTGGATTCGGTGCTTGGCCACTTGGACAGGTATTTGTGCATTCACAAGCGCATCCTCTGCTTAGAATAGGTGCTTGACCACTAGGACATCTATTTGCGCATCGACAAGCGCATCCATTGTCTGGATTTGGTGCTTGACCATTTGGACAGGTATTTGTGCATTCACAAGCGCATCTGTTGTCTGGATTTGGTGATAGTCCTCTTTGACAAGTATTTGCACATCTACAAATGCATCCGTTATCTGGATTTGGTGCTTGACCATTTGGACATGTATTTGTGCATTGACAAGCGCATCCATTGTCTGGATTAGGTCTTTGACCATTTGGACATACATTCGAACATTGACAAGCACAGTTGTTATTCGGGTTCGGAGTTAGGCCTTGGGGACAAATGTTTGAGCAATCGGCACACACACAGTTCCTACTGATCAAAGCTGGCTGACCATTGTAGCATTTATTTGAGCACTCACAGCTGCAGTCATTGCCTGGGTTCGCTGATTGACCTCTTGGACACACGTTAGAACACGTGCATTTGCAGTTGTTGCTGGTGTCGACAAACTGGCCCCTCGGGCAAGTATTGCTGCACGTACATCTGCATCCATTGTTCGGGTCTGCTGTTTGTCCCCCACTGCATACATTAGCACATCCACATCTGCAGTTGTTGGCCGGGTCTGCTACTTGCCCTGTTGCGCATCTGTTGCTGCATTGACATGCGCAGTTGCTAGTAGGGTTCGGAGTTTGTCCTGCGGGACAGGTATTCGTACACCCGGGGCAGTTGCAGTTGTTACTGACACTTGCCAGCACGCCGTTGGGGCAGGTATTGGTGCACTGACAGTTGCAGTTGTTGTTTGGGTGAGCGAACTGACCCGTGGGGCAGGACCTTGAGCACGTGCAGGCACAGCCGTTAGCCACATCCGGCTGTTGACCGCTGGGGCAGCTGTTCGTGCATACGCAAGCACAATCTTGACTGGCGTCGGGTCGTTGACCTGTAGGGCACCTGTTATTGCAGACGCAGGCGCAGGTGGTGGCGTCTGGGGTCTGGCCGCTGGGGCACCTGTTGTTACACCCACACTGGCAGTTCCTACTGGGGTCAGCGACCTGCCCTGAAGGACACGCGTTTGTGCATCTAGCCGAGCACTGACAATTGTTGACGATGTTCGGGATCTGCCCGCTAGGACAGGTGTTGCTGCACTCACACGTGCAGCTGTTGTTGGCATTGGCTAACTGACCTGGTGGACACGCCCTGCTGCATGCACACCGACAGTTTCTGCTCACATCGGCAAACTGACCAGAGGGACAAGTGTTCGTGCACCCACAAGCGCAGTTGTTGTTTAAATCCGGTTGCTGACCACTCGGACAAGTATTTCTACATCTGGCGTCTGTACAAAGAAGAAAAAAACGTTTTACAATCGCTGTGAAGACTTAAACATATTTGTTTATAGGCAGAGCTCTCCTGTTGATTATTGTGCAAGAAACGTATCCCAAGTTGAGTGGACGTGCAGACCAACTTACCACAAGAATTTGTTGTTGCGTTGTAAATGAGACGTGTGTCGAGACAAGTGCAGTCGCAGACTCCAGTGACTCTGGCGGTTGTAGGGCAGGTTCTTGGACAAGCTGGGGAAAGGAATTTAAATCTCTATATTCTCGCCACCCAGTACTAACCAATACGTGTTTATCTTTTAACTTGGTACAGCTATGTTGAAATGTATAAAGGCTGCTTAGGTGAGCACAAAACTAATAGTTACCACAGCGGCAAGGGACTTGGGTTGTATCGAGAACTTGGGGGCGAGTGCAGTCAGCTGCCGTTAACAGACAGGCGCCCTTTTCATCGACACCTGGGGATGCGATTGAAAAAAAAAATGGGATATGGCTAAACATGGGCTTTGGCTATACACATGAAAATATGGTTCCCAGAAAAATGCGCATACGGAAAAATGCGCATACGGAAAAATGCGCATACGGAAAAATGCGCAACGGAAAAATGCGCAACGGAAAAATGCGCAAACAGAACAATGCGCAAATACAAACTAATTATTTCTAATATACTTTAATTTTGTCATATTTCGTGGAAATATGTTTTATTCTGCTACAGTGAACATGTAGTCACTCTTTGCTAATTTCTATAAATGCTCGCTTTCCGTTGTGCATCTTTCTTTCCGGTCACCGAAAATATAGGGGTATTTTCAAACATACACAAAGTATGAGATTTCGTCAAGCACATAAAACATGGAATCAGTGTAAACAAATGTTAACATGGGATCTAGCTAAATAAATAAAAAAATATAGGATTTGGACAACAAAAGAGAAACCGGACGTAGTGACTTGATCACATGGATAAACTAGTCGCTATTAATAATTTGATTTAAAATTATTGAAACCTCTTTGTACTTTTGACAAGCCTTTCGTACATAGGTTTATATTATAAAATACGTTTTGATGCGATTATCGTAGCAAGTCTTAAATTATGGGATAATTGCTCATTGCACAGGGTGATTTCTGTACGTGTTAGTCCCGGGTGCTTTATATTTCATTTCTTGGGCATAAGGCCTAAACAAATTCACTCACAGTTGCAGTTGGGACCACGTGTTGTTCCCACTGGGCAGACGTTGTTACACTGACATGCGCAGTTGCCATCTTGAAACTGAAGATAATGATAAATATCAGATGTTACAGTATTAGGGGCAGGGTTATAAAACAGTTTGTGATTGATAAAAATATGAATTCGCGAGGTGGATTTCAGCACCAAGGAAACTTACCTGGCCATTGTCGCAGCGTGTGGGACAGGCACTGCATGAGCAATCCTCAAGCTGTCGGGTTCCCTGCGGGCAGGTGTTGGGGCAGAAGCATCTGCAGGAGTCATCTTGCTGCTGGCCGGCTGGACACTGGTTCACGCACATACAGTTGCAGTTGGCGTCGTGGGTTTTCTCGTTCGGACAGGGCGTCGAACAGGCTGGGCAAACACATAATAAACTTGAGTTATGTGCGATTGGTGTTTTTACACGTACACTTGTTATAGTCTGGTTGTATAGAATGTATTGCAACTTTTGTATTATATTTATAACGTCCTTGAAGTTATTCTTTGTTCTGTAAATTACAAATTTAATTCTCTCTTTTTTTTTTTTTTTTTTTTTTTTTTTGTGAAAACGAACCTCGGAACACAAGGTACCAAGCTTTTAGAAGAGACTATACGTCCTTTATAAAAAAAATTGCAACATTCCACCATTTACATTATTAGAATGTTTCTAGGGTTACAAAACCATTTTCAAGACCGTGGTCTCTAGAACTAGAAGGTTGGGACAGTTAGACAATGAACTTATTAAAATATAGCCATTTTGTTTTATACTCACCACATGCGCAGGTTCGCTGGTCGAACACGAAAGGTGCCCTGCAAGATTGTTGATTGAGGGGGCATTGACCTGTGGGGTGGGGGGAGGGAATAGGCGATTAAGTTAGTGTTAATCATTGTCGCAGTGTTGGTTTTCTTAAATCTCTGTCGTGTTGTTGGTTTTCTTAAATCTCTGTCGTGTTGTTGGTTTTTTTAAATCTCTGTCGTGTTGTTGGTTTCTTTAAATCTGAGTCGTGTTGTTGATTTTCTAAAATCTCTGTCGTGTTGTTGGTTTTCTAAAATCTCTGTCGTGTTGTTGGTTTTCTAAAATCTCTGTCGTGTTGTTGGTTTTCTTAACAAAATCATATGCGCATTATTTATTTATTTAAAATTATGGTGTTGGTTTCATTAAATCAATGGCGCGTAGTTTGTTTTATTACATTATTCGAGACAAAAAATATCGAATAAGATTTGACTGATGTCGCACTTGTTGCTTACCGCTGTATCCGGAACACAGAATCTCGCTGAGCCGGACAGAGAACAGGTCGGTGAAGGAGTTGACGCTGAAGACGTTGGTCCTGTCCCCGCCGGATAGCACCAAGAGAACTTGATCCGTCATGGCGGTGCCAACCCGGATGATGATGACTGGGTAGCCGCGATCACGTGCTTGCTGGATGGCCTGGATTGGTGGGATGTGGATCATGTGACGACGGATTATTGTGGGATATATGATGGCGTTTGTGGATTGGTGGGATGTGATGACGGTTGGGATTATTGCGGGGTTTATGATGGCGTTTATGTATTATTACAACAGTTTATGTTGTAACAGTAATATTGCCTTAATTACCTGTCTTACTTAAAGGTAAAAAACCATACCTATCCTCAGTGGCGTAGCGAGGTCGGGTGTCACCCGGTGCGGCACTTAATGGTGTCACCCCCCAGAGGCGTAGCGACCCTTCCCGGGGACAAACTTTCAAGTTTTCGATTTGCACCCCCCCCCCCCCTCAAACTTTCAATTTGCACCCCCCCCCTCAAGTTTTCGATTTGCACCCCCCCTCAAACTTTCGATTTGCACACCCCCCCCCCCCTCGTTTTTCTCTATATATTTTGCTATTTTTTGCCTTGGTGTCACCCCCCTAAATGGTGTCACCCGGTGCGGTCCGCCCCTCCCCCTCGCTACGCCCCTGCCTATCCTACTTAAAGGTAAAAAACCATACCTATCCTACTTAAAGGTAAAAAACCATACCTATCCTACTTAAAGGTAAAAACCTTACCTGTCCTACTTAAAGGTAAAAAATCTTACCTATCCTACTTAAACGTAAATAAAACCTACCAAAGCTTAATACCTCTACGGTCCAATTCTCACCTGTCTTGTTGCATCAGCATCAAAAGGGGGCCCGTCTGTGATGAGAACCAACGAGGACGGCCTGTCCCTGATGTCGTCATCCAGCATCCCCACGGACTGTATCACCGCCAGGTCGGTACCGGTTCCTCCCGTCCGTGGGAACTTCAAGGTCATGCGAATTTTCTCAGCCAGGAGATATTTGTCTTCCATCAGCTGCAACAAAAAGTTATCAAACAAATGTTATCGTTGGTTATTGGTTATCAACGTTGCTATTCGTAATCAAATCTTTGCCTTTCGGTTTCATGTTGTAAACTAAGGGAAGTGATTCGCTAATTCGGTCTAAACTGATGACCGTCAAGATTGATCTAGGGGTCATCCATAAATGACGTCACGCTTTTTTTGGACGATTTTTACCTCTCCCCTCCGTCACACATCGTCACAAAAAGCCAGACCCCCCCCCCCCCTAAAATGACGTCACACCTCAGTCTACAACCCCCCCCCTCAAAATTGCAGTTGAATTTTTCTCAAACCATCAATATTTTCCCAAAATCTTGTCTGAACTTTGTCAAAATCGAGTATGTTAATCAATTCCTATAAAATAGTTTTCTAAAACGCGAAATAACGTCTAAAACTTGTTTTCTAACATTGCTTTTTTATAATGCAAACGTGTGACGTCGCAGGATCTGAACCCCCCTCCCCCTCATCATACACTGTTACAAAATTACTGACCCCCCCCCCCTCCCCCCTACGAGTGTGACGTCATTTATGGACGACCCCCCAAAGTACTATGGGCGCAGATCACCGCCATCGATTGCCTTAATTTCCCCTTTCTAAAAACTTTACATAGAATAATCTCATGATACTTTAAAATTAATTAAACTGCGCCAAAATATGTGAAAAATGATAGACAATTGCATTGTCGTCGAAATACACTAGATGCAAAGTTGGTAAAAAAAAAGGGGGAGAAACGTCGATTCTTATGTTTTTTACCATAGACAGAAAGAGTGAGCAATTATTTATTTAAAACATAATTAATTATTATATTATGTAAATAATATAATTCTTTTAGTATAACTGACCCTTATTCTGGTGTCCCCTGGCTGAACATTGGGATCTGTCCCATAAATGTTGACCCCAATAGCGTTGTTGACGTAACGGTAGCGCATAGCCGTGTATGCCAGGTACTGACGTACGGTTTCCTTACGTCTCAGGACGCTGTCGGACCCGTCCACCACAAACAGTACATCACGACATGCTGGGGACACGGGGAGTACAGATTAGAGAACTTGGGAACATCTGTGATGTTGTGATTAAAATGGCTTCGTCTAAAAAGAACACCGTTCCTTTAAAGTTTAAATTTTACTTACTTGAATTTTTCGGGACTGGCGGCAGTATCGTAGCTGGGGAAGGATGAATATATAGATTTTAAGTTGTGAGTCTGTTAAAAACACTAGTTTTATTATATATTAATGCCCCCAAATTCCCCAAAATTTAGTCATTTTAACGGACCCAAATTATGAAAATTTATAATTAATTAGTTTAATGATATGCACTTAAAATGTTTAGCTGAGTACCCCAAAAAATGGTAGGTTATGAATTCATTGTTTATTGGGCTTAAAATATAATACAATATTTTATGAATGGTGGAAATCCTACGATGGGATTAAGTTTTCAATTTTTTTTTCCAACAATTTTTTTAAATGGAAACACATTTGCGTATGTACCTTTAAAAAGCTGTAGAGAAAAAAATTGTTTGCTCTCTCTAGTATTAAAACTAAAAGAGGTTGTTGTTTTTTTTTTATTCGGGGCCTACCTACTTAAACAGAATATTAACTTAGACAAGCCACTAATCTAGACTCTAGACAGACCACTCACCTGGACAAGCCACTAATCTAGACAGACCACTAACCTAGACAGACCACTCACCTAGACAGGCCACTCACCTAGACAAGCCACTAATCTAGACAGACCACTCACCTAGACAAGCCACTAGACATACCACTCACCTAGACAAGCCACTAACCTAGACAAGCCACTAATCTAGACAGACCACTCACCTGGACAGACCACTAATCTAGACAGACCACTAATCTAGATAGACCACTCACCTGGACAGGCCACAAGTGAAGACCAGTCGATGGCCGTTCTGTACTCCTGTACGATGTGTGAAATGTCTTTCAGTAGCTCCAACAGAGCGTCCTCCAGCGATAAGCTGATTATAAGAATTTCTCGATCTTTTGCGATTTTAGCTTCCTGTGGACAAAGTTTATGTTTTATATATGAACATGTCCGCAGTGTGGGAAAGAATACAAAGTTTTACAAACAAGAGTTGGCAACTTTATAAAGTACGAGCTGCATACCCGTGTTCCGCCACGGTTAATCTTTTTAAATGTACCAACTATGAAACAGAACAAAACTAAACACAAACACAAAAGAAAACGCAAAGAAAAACACAATGCAAACGCAAAAAAAAAAATTCATCACACAAACACAAAAGAAAACACAAACAATAACCTACACGAAAAAAATAAAATAAAAAATAACGCACTGATTAAAACGAACGTAGGCGCCATAGTGCTCACGAGAAGGTCCGGAGCGCCGGAGGACGCCCTGATTGTGATTTAGTGTTTATGTTTACTTTTATGGTTCCAAAATCTACGCATAAGTGTTCTCAATTCCTACTCCTAAAGTAGGCCTGCGATTTGCTATTTTCGTATACCCGAAAATTAGCGGTCCACAGTTAAATTTACAATTGAATTTTTACCAAGGGGGGTGGGGGGGGGCGGAATAAATATTCCGGGGCGGTCCACAGTCTAATTTACATTATAATTTTTTATTGGGGGCAGGAGGGGGGGGCGGACTAAATTTTCCGTGCATCATGAGGGAGGAGGCACCACCCTCTCCCCCCAAAAGAGATACCTGAAAGAAACACTGGACACGTTGCGCAGACATACGATCTATTCATCTATCAATACAAAAAAGGAAAGACAGTTAGCAACGCACCTGTATGGTGGCCCTCTGGTTGTCAGGGTTACCGTCAGACAACAAGACGATGATGTTCCCGCTTCTCTCACCGTTGTAGGCGCGGGCTTCGATCGCGGAGTAGTCGAGGAGGTTTTGCCTGTTGGGATAGCAGTACTGTTTTAAAAATCTGGCGAATCTACCCACACATGATATACGCATGTAGCCTTTCTGGGCGTTAATAAAGTTACATAGAGGTGGCAAATATAGAAACATAGAGACATTACTAGACGTCAATCGTGTTACTTTACGAAAAACAGAAAAGCTGATGAATAGACTACAGTTCTAAACCCAAGGGAGCCCTATTCCGGTAGCTAATTAATTTTCTATACATGCATGTGACTTTTTGGTGCAGAAAATAAAATAATTGTACACATAAAGTATTCTAATGTACGAAAACATAAAACCAAGGCTGTACATTCGTCGTTTAGTTTAAAACTCCCCCCCCCCCACCCCCAAACACATGCCAGCTTCCCATTGACACCAAGACCCACCTAGCTCTACGTAAAGCTGTCGGGATGGCTGTCTTCCTCCTGGGCTGTTTGAGTTCGTCCACCTGCTTGACGAGCAGCTCTATCTCCTGGGCTGTTCGCGGCTTGATGGGAATCTCTTCCGTCACGTCGCTGGAACATGGAGACAAATGGGCAACGATTCAAAATGTGAACAGCTTGACACGATTCAAACAAACTGTCAACAGCTTGACGCGTATAGTGTACTTACCTAAACAATATGACATTTCTAGCGTACGTACCTACACATTATGATACTTCTAGCGTACGTACCTAAACAATATGACACTTCTAGCGTACTTACCTAAACAATATGACACCTCTAGTGAATTTACCTAAACAATATGTCACTTCTAGCGTACGAATCTAAATAATATGACACTTCTAATGTACTCACTTGAACAGTATGACGCCTATAGAGTAACTATAGAGTAATCACCAGTATAACACTTATACTAAACTAAACTCAGCTAAACAATATGAATGACATCTACTAAATATCATGACACCTGTAATGACCTCACCTGAACATGATGCCACCTGTAATGACCTCACCTGAACATGATGACACCTGAAATGACCTCACCTGAACATAATTACACCTCTAATGACCTCACCTGAACATGATGACAATGACCTCACCTGAACATGATGACGCCGACGTGCGTGTCAGCGAAAGCTTTGGTCACGGCCCTGATCTCCCGTATAAGGGCCGTCTTGGCGTGCTGGAACCCGATGGGTGACACGCTGTCTGAGCCGTCCAGTACAAACATCACGTTTGGTGGACATTTCGTCACTGGAATAATATAGTCAAATACAAGTAACATCACGTTTGGTGGACATTTCGTCACTGGAATAATATAGTCAAATACAAGTAACATCACGTTTGGTTGACATTTCGTCACTGGAATAATATAGTCAAATACAAGTAACATCACGTTTGGTGGACATTTCGTCACTGGAATAATATAGTCAAATACAAGTAACATCACGTTGGGTGGACAATTCGTCACTGGAATAATATAGTCAAATACAAGTAACATCACGTTGGGTGGACATTTCGTCACTGGAATAACATAGTCAAATACAAGTAACATCACTTTTGGTGGACATTTCGTCACTGTAATAATATAGTCAAATACAAGTAACATCACGTTTGGGGGACATTTCGTCACTGGAATAATATTGTCAAATACAAGTAACATCACGTTGGGTGGACATTTCGTCACTGGAATAATATAGTCAAATACAAGTAACATCACGTTTGGTGGACATTTCGTCACTGGAATAACATAGTCAAATACAAGTAACATCACGTTTGGTGGACATTTCGTCACTGGAATAATATAGTCAAATACAAGTAACATCACGTTTGGTGGACATTTCGTCACTGGAATAACATAGTCAAATACAAGTAACATCACGTTTGGGGGACATTTCGTCACTGGAATAACATAGTCAAATACAAGTAACATCACGTTTGGTGGACATTTCGTCACTGGAATAACATAGTCAAATACAAGTAACATCACTTTTGGTGGACATTTCGTTACTGGAATAACATAGTCAAATACAAGTAACATCACGTTTGGTGGACATTTCGTCACTGGAATAATATAGTCAAATACAAGTAACATCACGTTTGGTGGACATTTCGTCACTTGAATAATACAGTCAAATACAAGTAACATCACGTTTGGTGGACATTTCGTTACTGGAATAACATAGTCAAATACAAGTAACATCACGTTTGGTGGACGTTTCGTCACTTGAATAATACAGTCAAATACAAGTAACATCACGTTTGGTGGACATTTCGTCACTGGAATAACATAGTAGCTAGTCAAATACAAGTAACATCACGTTTGGTGGACATTTCGTCACTGGAAAATACATTATGTAGTCAAATACAAGTAACATATGTGGTCTTTTAACAATAACATCACGTTTGGTGGACATTTCGTCACTGTAATAAGACATTATGTGGTCGAATACAAGTAACATAATTTTATTGGACATTTTTTTACTGAAATTATACAAATTATCAAACTATGTCATTTTAAACTGCATTGACATGTAATGAAATTACCAACAAATTTACATAAAGTATTCGTGTCACGTGAATGTATGCACACTATCAAATTTTGTAAAAAAAAAAAAAATTCCAATACCAGTATGTGTACTCACCTAAATTATCGTTGTACTTGATGACACTGCTAGTGCTCTGGTCAGTGCCGCTACCGACCAGTCCCTTTAACCAGTTAAATAAATTGAAAGCCGTCTGCAGATCCTGGGGGTCGTGGGCCTGGACCCCCGCCTCACAGTGCCATATAAGGGCACACAGCACCGTTAGGTGACATAATAATCTCATTCTCGTGGCGACACCTGGGGGAAAGAAAAACGAGGCTCATTAAAATATAGTTCATATTTAAATTTATTTATCTTATATACACACACATACATATATATATATATATATATATATATATATATATATATATATATATATATATATATATATATATAATTTTTAAATGTAGGGTTAGTCTATACAAGCTATATTTACTTCCCATTATACTATTAGTATTCAAATGTCTAAGAGGTGCTACTCATATTACACAACGATAGTGCCAAAATTGTTCAAAATATAAGAGATATTCAATGATTGCAAAATAAACTATGCAAAACACAAGGTATTTAGAATTTTAATATTATTAAAATTGTCTCATCTTTTAGTCATAATAATAAAGCATTAAAATTAGATTTATCTTTAAAATCTAGTAAATCTTTAAAAGTTTAATAATCTGGAAAATATTTGTTCAATAGTTTGATGAAATCGTACATGTTTTTTGATGCTGAAGTAACATTATTTTTTTTTAATTAAAAAAAGATCACTGTCTACGCTTAAGGGCAATTTAACAGCAATTTGAAATCGGTTTCCTATACGGTTCTATCACGTTTAGTAGTTAACAAATTAATAACAATCAGCTTCAGACTTTCCTTTACTGATGCCTGCGGTGCACGTTAATACGTGTCTTCCTTGAAAATTCCCAACGCCAAACTATGAGGAAAAACTGGACAAAACCTTATTGGTAAAGAAATACAAAAGCGCAAATGGCAATGGATGAGGTACACCTTACGCAAACCAACAAACACAATTGTCACACCGGCATTAGATTCAAATCATCCACGGAAAGATGAAAGTAGGTAGGCCAATACAAACTTGGAAAAGATTTCTTATGAGTGAAGTATAAACTGCCGGAATGTCTTGGGCCCAACTTGGAGGAATCGCCAAAGACCAATTACGATGTAGAGGTGTGGTTGTGTCTTTATACTTCACAAGAGGTCCACGTGACTGATGATGTGGTCTGTATCACCACATAATTGAGGCGACTATTTGATTGGATGGGATGCAGACACCCATCACACAAGTTCCGGTACCCCCCTTTGAAAGTTGCAACACCGAATACATAAAATTTACATTGACCCCTACAAAGGGACGCCATCCGTGTATTAGATCGTAATGTTTGAGTTACCTGTCTTGAAATGTTAATCGGGTAATTATTTCACTACAAAAGTCGGTTGATGTTTTATAAATAAATGCTTCACTTCCGGACACACGGTTGTGTGCTTCTCCCCCCCCCCCCCCCCCACAGAAACACACCCTTTACTCTTGTGTTTATTTTAATTAATGCACGACAAGGCTCCCATACACCCGCAATTTATTTTAGCTTGCGGTCGCTAGAGTGTATTTGATCTGATGGGGTGGGGGGAGATGTTTGCTGATTGGTCACGTGACTGCACATTCCTGACATTGTGGACCACGTGACAAGCGTTCACTCAAAACAAGAGGTTTGGGGAGGGGATGCACCCCTGGCAGAGGGCGGGGCTGGTGACCTACCCCCCGGGTAGAGGGCGGGGCTGGTGACCTACCCCCGGGTAGAGGGCGCAGTGTTTCTTCCAGACTTTTTTCTCCGGGGGGGGGGCACTTGAAATTTTCTTGAAATTTTTCTTAGGACACTGTTAAAAGTATATATTTTCTATATAAATTATATAAATTTCATTTCGTTCGGAGGGCGGTAAAATGCCTGGAAGAAACTCTGAGAGGGCGGGGCTGGTGACCTACCCCCCGGGCAGTAGGCGGAGATAGTGACCTACCCCCCGGACGGAGGGCGGGGTTAGTGACCTATCCTAGTATCCAATGTTCCTTTAAGGGGAAAAAGTTCGCGTGCAACGTGTATTTTTGTTTGCGCGGTGTTCTAAAAGTCTTATACAGAGATATATATGTATTTTACAAAATGACTGCGCGGCAGTTGAAAATTACTGCGCGGCTGCGCAACAGCACAGCCAAGAGGGAGCAGAGCTAGTATCTATTATTACCGTTAGCTATTTTCTTTGGCATTTTAAGATTTTTGTTCATGAAATTTAACTTCATCAATCAATTAAAAAGTGGACGTGTGTCATTGAAGTTTTTAAAATTTATTTTATTATTATTTGAATGCTTGACATAACAAACACAAAATGGCAACTGCAAATGTATTGCATTGCCTTACTTACATTGTCTTTACATGTGATATAGTATTACCTTAACTGAAGTTATGGCCCATCAAAAAGTATATTTCATAATTGGAAAAAAATGAATTTGTAAAATTCATTAAAAAATTTATTAAAAACTTTTAAAAAACAACACTTTAATATAACAATGTATTGAAAAGAAGAAAATAAATAATTTTATTAGATCTATAATAATCCACTACTATGAAGCAAAGCTTGTAGAATGAATAGACATTTTTTTTTAAAATATAAGCCCACAAAGTGTGACGCTTCCATTATAAATTTGTATTGAAACCTCGCTGCACATGTTTCATTCACGTAATTTTCTTACAGACGTATGTGTTACATCCATCCTTACAAAACACCTCTGACACATATCCATTTTTACATAACACATTTCACACTCATCCTTCCTTACATAACACGTTTCATATACATCCTTCCTTACATAACACCTTTCATATACATCCTTCCTTACATAACACCTTTCATATACATCCTTCATTACATAACACCTTTCATACACATCCAATCTTACACAACACCTTTCAGACCCACGAATTAGAGAAATCTCCTGAAGCTTTTGTACTTTCGGTTTTCAATTGACTTGGGTTTTGTGACACGAATGTGGCAAACTAAATATGAAGGAGGGGGGGGGGGGGGGTAACAATAGCCGGGTCAAGGTGACCCAATATTGTGGTGGGTCCAAAATATTTCCCGAGGGTCGGGTTGAACTTGTTGGAGGCTACGGGTAGTTGGGGCTACGGGTAGTGGGGGCTACTTGTGTAGGGGTATCAATGGTCAGGTTGTGTAAAGTAAAGAATGATATTTAGACCGAGCTATCCATTTGGAAGATGAAGTAGAGTTCATATGTTTCTTGACTTCGGCATATGAAGGTAAGGTGTGGTTAGCACTTTGCCCAGCCGCCTTTAATTTCCCTATTATGAGTTAGGTACCGTCACAAGAACTGGGTGGACTCATGGACTTTCTACTGACTTGGACCCGGATTCGAACTGGGGACTTTCAGGTTAGCCGTTTAGCGCTCTACTACTTAGGCCACGCCGTGTGACTATTTATATCACCGTAATAGATTATTGAGTCACTCGTTTCCTTTCTAGCAGTTCTAATGACACAACCACTTGCCATGCTCTGGCAGTCTAGAACCACCTGTCCACGTTCTTACAGCTATAAATGTAGTCTACTAGACCACCTGCTCATCCTTTGGCACCAGTACAGTCACATGACAAGGGGTGTGGACCGCACCGGATGACCCCATTTCGGCGGTGACACCGATTCGAAAAATTGTAAAAAGCACTGCCAAAAAAAAAATAGAATAATAAAATAACAAAGGAAGGGGGTGACACCTAACCGGAAATGCAAATATGGTTCAAGAGTTGGAGGTGACACACTTAGCTACCGCGCCGGGTGACACCCGCCCTAGCGACGCTACACCTCTTCGCGTATAATATATAACCACTTTCCCGTGTTCATTTAAACTTATCCAAACACCAACGACTTTAGATACAAAACTATCAGTACCGAATTTTGAGAATTTTTACGACAACTCTACTCACTCTACCCACCAGTGTGATGACTGTTGTTCTTCAACTGTGTAATTATTTACCTTTTTTCGACCAGCTTTGTCTTATACCCTATGTTGGCTTAGGTAAGTCTACACAAATAAGAACGTGTTAAAAATATGGGCCAGTGCAAATAATTTTTCTTGCGGCTCTCACAAATGCGCCGGGGTTGCTGTCGAAAGGTCAAAGGTTGTGGTGATGAAACTGTATGGGCGGAGCAGCTTAATGACAAGACAAATGTTTCGTTAGACGGGAACAACAGCACACTATTGCTTCACTGAGATGGTGTTGGGAGTTTAAAAAAAAAATGTGTGGGATGGGGGTAGGCCTACACACTACTGCTACACAGAGATGGTGTTAGGAGTTTAGGAAAAATGTGTGGGATGGGGGTAGGCCTACACACTACTCCCCACAGAGATGGTGTTAGGAGTTTAGGAGAAATGTGTGGGAAGGGGGTAGGCCTACACACTACTCCCCACAGAGATGGTGTTAGGAGTTTAGAAGAAATGTGTGGGATGGGGGTAGGCCTACACACTACTCCCCACTGAGATGGTGTTGGGAGTTTAGGAAAAATGTGTGGGATGGGGGTAGGCCTACACACTACTGCTACACAGAGATGGTGTGGAGTTTAGGATAAAATAGGTTACAACTCCACTAACATCGTATTAGGAAATTTTTGTGTATGTGGGATTGGGGTACACACTTCGATGAGCATCAACACAGACCTTCGGGTAAGTTATTTCCGTAGGAGAGGAGGCTGAGGGATGGGGGAGTGAGGGTTAAAAGTGACATTTTCCAATCTTGACTTGACAATCACAGCTCCGTGCAAAACAGCCGGTGTTTATACAAACAAATTTTCTGTTGCCATGGCAACCGCTGTTGACACGTGCATGTGAAGCGCGTGCAGCCACGGCGTCCACCAGCCCAGACCGCGGTATTTTAATGAGGGTCGCACTCATTGCCGGGTCAAGGTCAAGGCTTTAAATAACTGTCGCGGACGGATCATCGCGCGGGAAGCAAAAAAACTTTTTTTAAAATCCAATTTTTATAATAAAAGCGGTATTAGTGAGTACTTTTATGATAATAAATGATTTTTCTTACTAAAGTTCGATGACTAAGTTGAAATCTACTAATTTATTTACTAATTATCTTTCCTGTTGAGAACTGGTACTTAGCCATACAAATGTCTTGATTGTCAGATGGTTACAAATTCAACAACCATGAAACTAGATTAAATTTTTATAAAATTGT